GGAAGGCCGATAGTGGACCCGAGGAATCTGAATTACGTGAATTTGCAATTTTATTGTCAAGATTACAATTCCACCCACTGTTTTCTAATTGCTTAATTTCGCTTGTCTATTCTTCATAATTTCATTTTTGTTCCATTCTTTTCTTCATAGTTTCTTGACACGGTGAAAAACACATCAACGAGGCTCCATGAAAAATGAGTCAGAAAGAAAGAAATATAGAAGAACAAGAAAGCACTGCACGTTATCGCGCGCTCCACACAGCTCTTGGCATTGTCGAGATGGAATCCATCAACGACCCCCTCCCCCGCTTCCATAGTGAATCCCTCCACATCATGTGATGTTCCACCCATTGTGGGCAGGGTCAACCGTTACGTTGGACCGACATTGGACCGACGTTGGACCGCTCTCCGCGCCGGCATTCACTCTCGCCACCCGCGAGCCGTCTGTGTCTCCGTGCGTACGTTCACTCTCGGCATTACTCTCACACGTCGTCGCGTTGGACTTTGTCCAACGGACGGTTGACCCTGGTGGGTAAGCCTCCGTTAACGTCATACATGCTAGATACACCTTATGACTGCTTCCCTTACACCACTTTTTTCTTCTGCTCTGTGGGCTTTCTCTCAACTGGACTATGAATTCTTTCGTTGAGCACCGTTGTCTGGCCCCGCCCACCGTATCCTACTTACTAAAGCGCTTCGTCTGTCTGTCGTCTGTCGTCTGTCGTCTGTATGTCTGTCACGAAATTCCCTAGCTCCTCGGGATCCGCCTGGAGAGACCGGGTCAAGTGTGGGATGGGTGGGCAAGGTCTCACGAAGTACAAAACACACATCAGCTAAGCGGAGCCCCGCCCACAGTGGGCGTGGCGTGCATCGAAATGAGTGTACTGACGACCAAGATTTCAATTCTATACAAAACAGCCTCGAAACTGGGGAAAAAGTGGGTAAAGGTGTGCATTGGTAAGTCAGATCGAATTAGGGAGACCCACCCCCGGTGGGCGGGGCGTTCTCCAAAAAAGCAGTGCTTTATGAAAAATTTCATAACTCGGTTGGGAGAAAGCCTACAGAGCAGAAAACAAATTGGTGTAGGGGAGCAATGTCTAAGGTGTTTCCCAGCATACATGACGTGGGCGGAGGCCCGCCCACAATGGGCGGGGCGCGCTCTGAAGTGTACAGCATTTTCTACAAGCCCTCATAATTCGGGTCGGGGAAGTCTTAAAGAGCCGGAAAAAGGTGGATAGAGGTGTATGGAGGAGTGGAGGCCAGCTGTCAATGGTGGGCGGGGCTTGACCAAAGTGGGCGGAGTTTGCGACGAAAATTCATAACTCGGCTCCAAGAAGTCCAGGAGGCTGGGAAAAAGGGAGTAGAGGTCGGCGAAGGAAAGGAGGTCAAATGCTATTAGTGGGTAGAGCACGCACCCAAGTGGGCGGAGTTTGCCAAAAGTATCGCAATTCGGTTGCAAGAGGTCCTAGAGATAGGGGAAAACGGGGTTAGAGGTTGGTGAGGGAAAAGAGCTCAACTGCTATTAGTGGGTAGAGCACGCACCTAAGTGGGCGGAGTTTGCCAAAAGTGTCGTAATTTGGTTCCAAGAGGTCCCAGAGACCGGTGAAAAAAGGGGTAGAGGTCGGCGAAAGGAAGGGGCCAAATGCTATTGGTGGGCGGGCACGCACCGAAGTAGGCGGAGTTTGCCACGAGATTTATTGTCCGGAAGCAGTCCGGAGACCGGGAAAAGAGGATAATGGTTGACGAAGAAAAAGAGGTTGAAAGCCGTCGATGATGGAGCGGATAGAATTTAGCTGAGAATTCAGATATTCGTGGTGTATCAAGCCAAATTTGAAAATTTTTTCTGTCGCACCATCAAAATTCGCATGGAACAGCATCCCCTGTGGTGTGCGCGGCAAAGCTGTTATTTATCCTAATGATCTTTCGTTGAAAGAAATTAAAAGTTGAAAAACGAAGGTTGTTAGCAGCATTGGCCCAAACTTTTCCTTCGCACTGGCAGTGACAGAAAGAGGCAAATACTCATTATCAACCAGAAAGTCGATGACATTCGTCTACTCTGAGTCAAGAAGAGTACAGCGAAAAGGCAGTTGACAACTACCTGTCGAAACAAATGCCGACGACGAGAATGTCGACGACGATACCGACTGTCGGGAGTTCCCATGGAAGAACTTTAGGTACGCTAGTGAATGATGCAAAGATCATTTAGCTAATGTGACTTATTTCATCAATTTACCACTTGTTGAAGCACAGTTGGGCTATCGCGCGCCCTTACTCTGGCCTAGATACGACGAATGCCACCTCCGAAATTGCCCCGCATTTTCCGCGTGCGAGATGTGAACAATTTTTTGCTACGCGCTCTTTCCACAGTAGAATCTTCGGAAAAGGGTAGTGAACTGTGAAACTAGGAACGAACTGAACTTTTAAAAGGTTTTCACTTGTACCTAGAATTTTAGCTAAAGGCAGTCGCTACTGCGCGAGCATATTATAGCCAGTGGATAAGATCTGCTTTCTAAATCTTGCTGAATCTTCGTTTAGCCAGGCAGCAACCCTTAAACCGCTTCACTTTCAGTTGAGTGAGTACCGAATTCGGCGCTCATCCGTAGTAAGGGGGGGGCATTGTGATGCAACGTCAAGTGGCTGCCCTCACCCCCACCCCCTAGACTGCTTCACTCCCCCTGGCTCACGGGTCCCGTACTTCGAGAAACCTGTGCGCCAGGGGGAGTGTAGGCAGTCTAGGGGGTGGGGGTGAGGGCAGCCACTTGATGCCCTTACTGGATGAGCGCCCGAACTCATTTGATAGGACAAAAGCTGACCATGGTTTACCCAGTCCTGCAAGAATTTTAGAGAACTACTAAGCCTTCAGAAGCCACAACGTACAGAGTGAAACTCAAATGCATGGCGCACCTCAAAATCGGATTAATCACAGCAAACACTTTATACTTGGTCCCTTCCTTGGAAATTTTCAACGTATTTGACTTATACTATATTGACAGTGATGATTCCGTCAGCTCTCTTAGGTTGCCGCGAGATGTGGTGCCGACCTCATACAATTTAACAATTCATCCGAACATCACAACGAACAACATGACCGGAAGTTTAGCGATCGATATCCAGGTAATTAGCTGATCTGTAGTTCCAAAGGAAGGAAAATGCTGATTCCCTTTTACGCATGTTCCAAGTTGGAACTTCCAACACATTTTCATTACTATTGGGTTGGAGCATAATATCATAGCGTTTTTTTGAGCGTATATAAATTCAGCCAGTACAAGTATCACCCGAAAAAACGCTTGTACGATTTGAAAGTACTCTTCCCGCTCTACAAAACCGTAGTTGTATTTTCTTCAATATTGTAGCTGCACTCAAGTATAGAGCCTAGAAGTTGGAAATTCCAGACGGCGAAAAATCGGCTTTTCGATGCTATTCCTCGGTTCAAATAAAGAATAAAAAGCGCCAAATTGGAAGTTCTTGTAAATTCGTTCGTTCTAATCGAACCTTGCTCTGAAGCGACCCACGATTTCGCTCAAATTGAAACCATATTCATTTCCTAGAAATTGAGAATATTGAGGACTCCGAAAAGGAGCTCATTATAGTCTTTAAATTCTATATCCGGTAATCCCTTCGGTTACTAATCTGGTGATCTCCTGCGTAAAGCAATCAAAGTAGTAAATAATGACGAATTAAACGTCACTTGATTAGTTCCTATGTTTTTATTTTCTCTTCAAATGGTTGTGCGAAGAAATGAAAAATGCAAGCGCTACGATATTATGCTCCAACCTAATACTTGAACACAGAGGCGTGCCTATTGTTTAAACTTGCGTGGTTGTTTCAACTTGCACAGAAGATCGAAAGTATCGGTGCAAAATGGACTAGCAGTAAAGAAGAAAGGAAAAGAATCCGTCGAGAACGCTTAAAGGCAAAGTTTGGGCTCAGACCCACTTAATGAGCCTTTACGGTGGCTAGAAGCGCAGGTACGCAAGTGTAGGGGTCGCGTCACTTCCCTACTTCGAAAACCGTTATTTAGACGCTAGGCGCTAAGAACTTTGACACGCTCCACCTGCTGCGACACGCTCCGCCCACCGCTCGATATCTTGTCTGCGTCGCTAACTTGATCTGCTATGCTCTCTCTACTCGTACTTCTCTAGCGCTCTCCGCGCTCACATTATCTCTCATCTCCCTGCCGGCCTTTTGAACTTCTCCGCAGCGTAGAGCAAAAGGCTCGTATTTCCTGTGTATTTCACGTTTTTTTCTTTTCTCCACTGGCGGTCCACTTCCTACCCCTACTTTCACATTTGAGTGGAATTACCTCATAATTTAATCCTGAATCTTGCCTTTAAGTCAAGCGCTTATTGACTCTTGTCTTGCGGTTGTTCTAGACAATGAACAATGACAGATTGAGCGCGGAGAGGAGGGGTATAAGACGAGAGAGCGCCTGCTGCGGACGGGAACATTGCAGCGCCGCAGACCTTATATGTATGCAGTTTCAAAAATTTTGCACACGATCCATTTTAGGCCGAACCTTGAGGAGTCAGGTAAAACCAAAGGCCCTATATTCATTGCTAGTGTTAAATTCAATCATTCCATAAAATTCTCAGTAGCTGACAACTGAGCGAGGGCTTGCTACTTGGTATCCGCGCGATGTGGCAGACATATACTAACCCGCCAATCCAAGCCGGCGCCATCCAGATCCGGCCTACGACCAAGCTCATTGTACTACATGCTGATAACCTCATTCTGACAACATTCAGTATGAGCGTCAACGCCAAACGAATGGAAGCTGAATTCGTAAGTTTCCAAAATTTTACGGGAAAATCAACAGCCCAGTGCATGGGTTATTTCAGAACTCGCGATTTTCTTTTCCTGCTATTTACTTAATCCTATTTCTTCAAACGCCTGTGCCTATCCATTAGTATGTAATAACCAGTAGGTCAAGTCGTCGCACCACTTGAGGGCGTGGTTTTTAGGAGGGCGGAGCCTGTGAACCGAGAAAGGTACTTTGAGCCCGCCTATCACTACTTTGTGAGCGCTTTCAGATCAATGGTGTACCCAATACACCCAAACATGAAGGGAGAAACCGATTTGCAAAGGGTAACCATTAAAATCAATGATTTTTTTGCTAGGGGTAAAAATCCTACTAAAACAGAGCTGTTACCGTATTCATCAAAAGGACTACTATGTGAAAAGAAGAATAAACCTTTATTCTGTTCGATGCTATTTAAACTATTTGCAGTTTTTCTGTCCGGAAACTTCTCAATGGGCATTTGTGATGGACGACGAGGTGCACGCTGGTGACGTAATCGACTTGGGTATCGAATTTCAGGGAGAAGTGCTGCCAGATCTACAGGGACTCTACATATCTACACATACTGATACACGAGGAAGAAAAACGTAAGACCTGAATGCACAGTAATATGAAAGAATATCTTGAGTCATAGCACGCTTATCAGAGCAGCTAACAGCTCGGTTTTTACTATATATTTATATTAACAGGCTGGATTTTTCGTAACACATGATGCGAGGATTAAAATTGCTAAGTTACGCACGTTTCACGTTTTGAAGGGATTATCCATTACTAGTAAGGGAGCGTTGTTACATGCTTACAAGTCCTATGTGCGACCATCTGGTAGAATCCAGACGACGGTTTTCAATCCTTGGAAAAAGAAACATGTCCATGCACTCGGAAAAAGTGCGGAATTATTTCACTCGTAAATTACTTATTCGAATCGGAGGTTTCTTGTACTCCAAAATTCCAAATGCAGCAATTAGGAATAGGTATCTGGGGCTTCCATCACCACAATCGAGGTG